GAGGGTAAATTTAATATAGTTGTCCAAAAAATTCGTTATATAAAAATTCGCTATAGAGAGGTATGACTGTATATTATAAAATTAGTTAGAAAAAATATGGTAAAAGAATGGTATCATATTTGGAATTTTCAATCTCAATTTAATAATTAATTTTCTAATATTAATTTATTAATTAATATTACTTTACTAATTTTATTATTAACAGACCAATAAAATTATTACAATATTTATTTTATTTTAAATAACTGTTTCATTATACTTAAAGTAATTAATATTATTAATTACTCAAATAGGATTCCTCTTTTTTAACAAGATCTTTAAATTAATATAAATTTTCTTTTATATTTTTATTTTGTTCTATCTTTCTTATGTTCATTTTAATCAGATATATAGATTAGATATCTAAATAACTTACTTATTAACCAAAAAATATAAAGTAATCATTAATATAAATATCAATAAAGATTTTATTTAAGTTACATTTTCTATCAAAAGATTAATAACTTTATAGAATTACTTTATTTTTACTATTCATAAAACTTAAAGTTTAATTTTATTTAAATAATTTTTGTTTTATATAGAAATATTTTTTAATACATTTTGATTTTTTATCTCTATAATTGATCAAAATAACATTATTGAATATAAAAAGAAAAGATATTTTAATATAATTTTAAAAATTTGTTTTTAAGTCTAATAAGAAAGATCTTATTTGTTATTATAATTTTTTTAGTTTAATTTTTTAATTATATAATTAATGACCGCACTTACTGCGCCATTATAAAATGATTAATTGGTTTTAATTTAAATGAGATCCGATAATCCAGTATTACTTGACGACTACTAAGCCACAAAAAAAATTTTATTTCGGACTTTTTTTCTTTGGATGAATAAAAAAAAATATATATATATTTTTTTTATGTTATGCATAAAATGGAAGAAGAATCTGTAAAGACAAATTCAACAATTTTACAAAATGATATAAAAGAAACGACAGCAATACTTCGATTTGAAGTACCTTTAAAAAAAGGTCAAGGAAATAATGTAATTTATTTTCCCGACTTGATAAATCCACCAAAGGCTGAAATAACAATGAATAATCAAAACTTCTTTACTAGTGATAATACTTCATTAGAACAAAACTTAGATGAAATGGCTTTAGAAAATTTTGTAGTATCAGAAACCACAGATTTTTTGGAACATATGGCCGTTGAAAAACGTCCGGAACCAAAATTTTACGCAATCTCAAGAAAAAGTACTACTCCTGGTTTTTTTGGTGCTGGAACTAATATAAATCCACCTGAAAATATTCTTCAATTCTTTAAAAATGAACTATCAAATGATAAATCAACCAATACTATCATTTCCAATGCTGGGACAATTGAAAATAATGAAAATAAAAGTTTAAATAAACCGACTAAATCAAGAACAAGAAAGAATGCTACATCATCAAAATCAAAGGGCAAAAAAGCCATTAAACAAGAAGAGAAACTATCGTCGTCAGTTAATGAAGCTGTTAGCAGCATGTCAAAAAAAACAAAAAGACAACCTTCTTCTCAACAATCAGAAACAAAAACTAAAAAACAAAAAACTAAAGTTATTGAGGGAAATAAAACCATTATTAAAAGTGAATCAAAGTATTTAGAAATTCAAAGATTATTGGAAAAACACAAACGTCGCAAAGAGAAAAAAATTAATAAAGATGCATCTACCAGTGGTATAGTAAGTAGTTCTTCTTCAAAAAATTCAACTCCTATAGCTAAATCATTAAAGTCTTTAATCAATGTCGAAGATGATTCTTCTCTATCATTATCTTCAACTTCATCGACTGAGTCTTCTCCAAAGAGAAAAGGCCGGCTCGAAATTCGTTCGCGAGGAAGTTCTTCAACTTCATCTACTACAGTAACCTCTACAAAAGCGAGCAAAGTGAATACGAAATCAAAATCAAAAACTAGCAATCCAAATAATTATAATGCAGAGAGTCCTGGATTAACACCGATGACGATATCTTCCGAATCTACTCCTACCCCTTAACCTAGAAAGTTCTTTAAATCAGTTTCAAAATAAATCATCTTTGCGAGAACTTTTTCTTTTATTAATGCTTTGATGATATATTTTTATTTTTATTTTATTTTTTTATGTATATAGTAAAAAAAGCCTTGTAAAATATAAATATCTTTAATTATAGAAATCTAAATACAATAAGCTTGCTTTAATACTATTATTATATTTACTTCATCTAATCTAATTTATTTAATTTAAGTATGTGAATTCGTTAACGATTCAAATTGACAATAAAATTCATTTGAAAAAAAATATATTTTTTTTATATTTCAATAATAAATCGAAAATAGGGATTGTACCTTAATTTATTTTCATCTCAATTTAAATAGTTGGATTACCAGCTTGAAAACCATATTTAAACGAAAAAAACCATATAATTTCTAAAAATTTCTCCCAAAAAAAAACTTCAAATAAAAAAAATACAAATAAAAAAGTAGGAGTTGATGACAGATGCGAACGGAATAATGGCCAATTTAATAGAATAAGTAAAAAATAAAAGGGTTGTATATAAAAAAGTAATAAAAGTGTATACAATAATAAATAATAAAAAAAACTATCATAGTATAATATAATTATTATGATTGACGATTAGCGAAGGGTAACCATGATCGTCGTGCCTGTGATTGGGCTTATTATAATAATAATATATAGGAAATGAATTATTATGTTTTATTAAAGTACCCAAAATAAAAAATAGAATAACTAGTTTTATTTTATTTATTTTTTGACTACTTGTGGCGACTCTTACCGTCCATGCTATGCAATTAAAGAACGTAAGTATAAAAAAAAAATAGATATATATATATAAAAAAAAAATCTGTGAAATTAAATAGAATCATACCCATTGCTTTCGTGGACTGGCATACCACCTCGGAGTGGTTTGGCAATGCGACCGAAACTTAGGCCGGAAAGGGAATTATTCGATTTTTGGGCTAATAATTTTTATATTTTTATAATCGTTAATAAAATGTAAGATATTATTATTATTATGCGAAATAATAATAATGATGGTTATACATACATCGTGCTTGTTCCAGACGTTCCCGTACTGCTTGTAATTGTGCTTCGAATCTTTTAAAGTACAGGTTTGTTAGTAAAAATTAATAAATAATGGATTTTCACATATTTTGACACAACTTACTTTTGATTTTGTAATGTTAATTTTTCTTGTGCATCTTGTAATAAGGCTTCCAGAGCCTGGATACGTTCATTACGAGCTAGAAGTTTTCGCTCTGCGATAGCTACTTCTTTCTTAAGAGATGAATTTTGCTCTACAAGCTATAATAGAAAAAGGGGAAAAAAAATTTTTTTTTTTCAGCATAAAATTTTTTATACTAAATTCGTTCATAGGAAGAATTAATGCTGAGAGAAGCTTACTTGTTTCTGTACATTTGTGAGTTGTTCTAAATTCCTTTCTAAGAATGCCATCTTCTTTTGTTGTGCTTTATTATTGCTATTACGCAAAACGTTGTTATATTGTTCTCTTGTCTCATCTAATGAGATTTCAAGTTCTACAACTTTTTCACAACGATTTTGCAAATCTCGCATAAGTGCTTTCTTCATGACGTCAAAATCGGCCAATTGTTGTGCCATTGTCTTGCGGATACGTTCCATGTCTTTTTCTTTCTCCGCAACGCTCTTTTGTCCTTCAGATTTAGATTCCTTATCATTGATAGCATTCTGCGTTTTTACAAATAGATGAGATATAACATAAGTGATCAAACATGAATTAATATTGAAAAGGTTCTCACCGTTTTGTCATTCGGAAATACTTTTACCTGTAATTCTTCATTTGCTCTCTTCAAATCAGCAAGAGCGCTATAAAAGACGTTTAAATAGAGTATATGTTAGTAAACTCATAAAGAAGCATGTTAAATAAATCTTATTCGAATAGAAATTATCAATCAACCTATTAAGTTTATGTAATTCTTCATTCTTCTTTTCTAATTCTTGTTTTAGTTCATCAATTTCTTTTTGTTGAACTTCTTTCTTGGCAACAAATTGTGCTTCCAATTTACCCTTAAAATATCAATAATAATTAATTAATTAATTGATAATTGATATTTATGTACAATGATTTAAAAAACGTGAAAACAGAACTTACCCTTAATTCCGCTATCGTCTCGGTGATGTCTATATTATTGTTTGCCTCCTCTTCAGCAATTGTTTTATCTAAAAGAATTTATATTTAAAAGAAATTATATTAATTTATGAATTTATTTCTTAAATAAAGTTATGGTTTGTATTATATATTCTTACCTAACAATTCTTCGTATTCAAGTTCGAGTGTGGTCAAACGAATTTCAAGTTCATCTCTCTTCCTTGTCAAATGTTCATTTTCATAATGTAATTCGTTAATTGTTTGTTCATGTTGCGCAACTAAATTCTTCGAATCAGCCAATTCGCGTCGTAGTGTTGAAAGTTCTTCTATCGAAAGAGTAGTATTGTTCTCACCGCCGATAGTCTCGAGTTTATGTAACGTGTCCCGAATTTGTTGTTCCTTTTTCGAGATAACGCCCGATGGATCAAGCTCAGCGAGCATAGCAGCCATTTTTTCTTGTTTCTTTTGCTCTTTATCACCTTCTTTTTGAGCAAGTCTGAGATCTGTAAGGGATTTCTAGGTAACGAGAATAAAAATTCATTTAATCGGGGATCCATTAACTTTAACATAATGGGAAAAGGTAGATTAATTTACCTTGAGTGCATCTAATTCGGTGGTTAATTCCACATTAGCTTCTCGCAAACTGTCCATTGTAATGGCGCCTTCTTTATTTTCATAAGTAACTTTCTCTAGTTGCACTTTAAGATCATTGAGCTCGGATGCCATTAATTTATTTTCCTGTTGAAAATAAAGAAGATTCATATAAATATATCATATCATTTGGGAATGTCACTCAAAGTCAGCATGATCTTAAGTAAACACAGTTATTGGATAGGAACGTCTTTTATAATATACAATACCTTTGTGATCGTTTCTTCTTGTTCCTTGTAAAATCCAAGTTCTTCTTTCATATCGGACAACATTTTCTCTTGAGCTGCTAATGCTGTCTCCTTTTCAGCAATTTGATCCGTAAGCTCATTTTCTCTTTTTAAGAATTCTTCTCGCTCATCTTTCTCTAATATTGGTACAGGTGTGCCCGGTCGAGAATCCATTTCTTTCTTTGCAGCTTCTATTGCAGGATTAGCCGGGGTAGTTGGGGTTGGAGGTTGAGCTGGAGCTGAACCAGCTTTGTCCATAGAAGCCCATTTTTCTTTTGGAACCGAACCACCAGAACGCCAAACACCAACTTCTCCCTCAAGTGCTGCAATATATTGTTGGAAACTAACAGCTTCGCTTTTAGCTTTCTTGAGAAGTGCTTTAAGTTCGGTAGGACTAAGTTCAGCGTTAACTTTGGCTTTATTCTTAATACTCTTGGCTCTATAATATATAAAAATATAATTGGCATTTTGCTAAACACTGAATACAACGCAAGTTAAAATAACAATCAATGGTATTACGTACCTCATACCAAATCTTAATGTACCTAGTGTTTCAGCTTCATTGAAAGATGAAGGTGAACAATTTATAATCAAAGTTGTTCTGGAGTTACCACCAAGGGACTCTTGAAGAATTCTAGTAAGTTTACTGTCACGATATGGAATATGTGTTGACTTAAAGAAAAAGCAACGATTATAACTTGAGAAATGAGAAATAAGAAGTTAAAGACAAATTAATAATATTATTTCTTATATATTACCTTTCCGTCCGTTAAAGCGTTAATTACCATACCCAACGCTGATAAGGATTTGTTGATTTTTTTGGCTTCTTCTAGAGTTTGACCAGAAGCACCAGTTTTACCGACCTATTTTCGAGAATAAAATTGCAAATTACTAAACTTTTTCCATATATTAAAATTCAATTTAATTTAAATTACAAACCTTTTCGGAACCTGCCAAATCGACAAGGGATAGTTTACCACTCTTTACACTACCATCACTGAGATTCTTTTGATTTACGGTAATAACAAAGATTGAATGTGATCGAGAGCTTTCTGCATTCATATCTGTAATTAAAATATATTAGGTCATATACTACAAAGTTTACGATTATTATAAAGATAATTAATATGAAGTAAAGGAAAAACATACTTGTATATGCTACAATACGAGCGTTACCACCACGTTTCATTACTTCATACACTTCTTGTACGGAACTGACATAGACCTCCAAAAGACCTTTAACGTATACACCTCTATTCTTTTCTTCATGGATAGGAAGATTGTCGTTTTGAGCTAAAATACATTTAAGAACAAACGTGATGGATGTTAATAAAGGAAATCATTTCATTGTAAGCATCATTTGTTGCATATGCTGAATACTAACGATTAAGTAAATCACGAATCTTCTCCATATAAATTTCCATATAAGAGACCTTTACGGTATATTCCATTGTGGATGGAGAAGAAATGATACTTTGAAAGATCTGTTCCACAATACGAGGTATAAGACCTTTAAATTCATCATTATCCATGTCTCCCTATTAAAGTAGATGATTTTAATTATGATAGTTAGTCCGATTATTAAATGAATAAAGTAAATGTTTAGTTTATCCTATTCACTAACCATCATAGTATGCGTTTTACCGGAACCCGTTTGACCATAGGCGAATACAGTACCGTTATAACCCCCGATGACATCTAGAAAAGAAATTATTTAGTTAATGTTGATATAGTTGTCATCAACAGAAGTAATGTTTGTTATATCTTTATGGTAAATAAATAAATATATACCATCGACAATAGGTTTTATAGATTCATCGAAAAAGAATTTCTGATGTGTTTCTGGTGGAAATATCCGATCGAATGTGAAGTTCCCTTGAAATTCTTTACCCTGTAATATATCAGAAAGCAGAAATATGATATAAAAAATAGTAATGGTTGAATACAACTCTTGTAAATTTGGTATTACAATACAATAAAATTTATTTATAAAAGTTCAAATACTGACCTCCATACGACATGAATCGCCATTATCATCATAGTTTATAATGGGAACACCACCTTCCTTTATTTCACGAGAATTCTGCGGTCGGAAACGGCACACTACTCTGATATTGGTTCTATTATCACCCATTATGGTTATCTTCTAATATAAATTGACAGAAAATAGTCTATATAGTATATCTGTAACGAGATGGAATAAAATGCAAAATGGTCATTTTATATATTTATTCTTTTCCTCAACCTTCCTAGCAATTAGTAAACTTTTCAGAAACACGAGATGGAACTTACTGCTCGGAGAATTCCTCCTTGTATAAATTAATCTTAAATAAAGTTTCTTATAAATTAATAAAGTAATCGTAGGGATTTTAATTTCAACCTTTTTTTTTTTTTTTTTTTTTTTTTTTTGAATTATAATATATTACCAAAATAAATAATAGATTGATGTAATATATAATTATTTCAATTTTTGTGAGATATTTTATATATATATAATTTTTTTTTTTTTTCTTTTTTTTTTGCTTCGAACACCTGCGAAGTGCAGGGGGAAATAAAATTGAGGGGAAACTGTTAAAAAAAGGGATAGTTTCCTCTTTGGCCAATATATTACTGATTAAAGCTTTTATATATAAAATATGCTTTTGACGTCTGGCCACGATGTTTCACACCAAGTAATATGACCAAATAAAGTACAAAGAAGGTGGCGGACATTAACCCACAATAGTGAATAATATATCCTGCGCCCCTTTTTTTTGTTTATCATATTCTACGTAATTTATCAGTATTATAATAATTGAACTTCTCAATAGATGTTGAATCAACAATATCTTCGATTCCTTTCATCACATTCTTGTTGAAAGAGAAAGGATTTATGTAACGATGCTTTGTCCAATTAGACTTTAATCAACATTTTCATATTAGGTACTTATCCATTGTTGGTGACCATGCAATTTGCAGCATACAGCAACAATAACCTATTCTTATTTGATGTCACTATCTTATGATTTCTTTCCAATACAGTATCGATCGGAGAACAGTTTTTTAATAATTATAAGTCATATAAATGATGGATTTCGGCTGTTTTGTGCTCCAGATGAAACATTAACGCAAGTCCATTGTATTCTATTGTGCACATGTTAAATACAAGACAAACAAACAAATCGTTAAAGAAGTTTTTGAATTTTAAGAAAATTTTTTTCTTTGATAGTAAAGCTTCAACTTTATGGATATTTACCCAATCCAAATGGTTGAGGGAATTACAATACTAGCAATGTTCATTGTATAGGATAACACGTAATGATAAACGCAATTCAGTAACCACGAAAAAAAAAGATGTGATTACACAGTAACTACTTAAAAATTATTAAATTTTTTTTTTTTTTAATTAAGATACTGTAAGTGTGTGCTAACTAATTCAGCAAAGGATTTCTATATTAAAATTTAATATTATGATTGATCTTTCTCAATATAGTTATTCAACCTAAAATATATCTAGAAAGTCAGAGTCTCACAGAATGGGAATTAGACACAGACTTTTAAGACAAATATTGCTGCACTGACCCGATCATTTGTAATACTAAGATTTCTTTATTTGTAAAATTCAAAATCTGTATCGGCCTTCTTGACATTGGCTTTATATCCCTTTTCTATATCTTTACTAAGAATAACATAACGATTCTTTCGGACAGCTTGCATACCGGCCTCTTGACAGATAGCATGAATTTCGGCGCCACTAAGTTTATCTGGTCGAGATATGTCTAAGAAAGTATTATGAATTACAGAATCATTAGATTGTGAATCGTAAATGATATTTATAATAATAATAACAATAAATTGCATATACATACAATCTTCGAGGTCAACTTCCTCGGAAAGATTCATATTAGAGGTAATTGTCGAAAAGATTAAACGTTTTTGACGTCTATCAGGAGTAGGAAATTCAATCTTTCGATCGAGACGTCCGGGTCTCAGCAATGCCGGATCTAATGTATCAGCGCGATTTGTAGCCATAATGACCTATATAGATAACAAGTTATAATCTATTAAGCAATTCGAAAACGTTACAATTCGATAAATTTGTAATGATATTTTACCTTCACATTTGATGTTTGATCAAACCCATCCATCTGGTTTAATAACTCCAAAAGAATTCTTTGTACTTCACGATCAGCACCAGTTTGTGCATCAAATCGTTTGGTAGCGATTGCATCGATCTCATCGATAAAAATGATGGATGGTGAATTTTCTCGAGCCAATCGAAACACATCACGAACCATACGAGGTCCCTCACCTAAATATTTTTGAACAAATTCAGAGCCTACTACTCGGATAAAAGAAGCCGTGGTATGATGAGCAACTGCTTTTACAAGCATAGTTTTTCCTGTTCCTGGTGGACCATATAACAAAACACCCCTTGGAGGATCAATTCCAATTTGTCTATACAAATCAAAATGTGTCAATGGTAGTTCTACTGCCTCCCGAATTTCTTGTTTTTGAATGTCAAGCCCTCCAACGTCTGAATACGTTACGTCAGGCTTTTCATCTGCTCCAAGCATAGCAATGCTACTATCGGCCTCTGGAGGTAACACATCAACTAATGAATTTGAGTGACGATGAAGTGCTACTGAAGAGGACGGTTTTAATAATTCACGATCAATTGTGCTGAGAATTCGAACAACATAATTAGATCCTGTCGTAGAGCCTACAATTCCTGTGTGTTGATCGATCGGTTCCAAGAATTGTCCAATCACTAAAGGCACGGACTGAATTCTTTTAACTTCTTCTTGAGCCCGGATTAATTCACGCTTTAAATTCTTTTGTTCATCTTTTATATACTCTTCTTGCAACTCTAAAAATTCGAGATGTCTTTGAAGTTTTTTAAGTTTTGTGTATAAATCCTCTTCACTTAAATCTTCAAGTAATTCACTCGTCTCTGTAGTGATGGGAATCGTCTCCTTCAAAAATAAAAGGGTATGACAAAACGCGTTTTTCCATAAGCTTTAAACGAACGCTACGTAATTATTTTTTAAATTAAATCGAACTGAGTAAACAAACCTCAGGTTTGATCGCTATGCCGATTTCTTCCATTGGAAATAAAAATAATTATCCTTATATTAATTGAAAAAAATGCGAATTTTGATTTATTATGAATAATTGCATTGCGTCATCTAAAATTTTTTTGTTACACAACATTTATGACCGATTATATAATAGATCTGATGTACCTTATCAAAAAAAAAATTTTTTTTTCACCATTTTTCACAATGACGAAGCATAAAAACGGAGAAAAACCAAAGGTTCAAAATAATGCGTCAACAACAGAAGATTCACGCTTTGCCCATGTACGAAAAGACCCGAGGTTTACCCGTCCGAAGAAAAAGGACGTGAAGATCACTTTAGACGAACGTTTCGCTCATATGCTAACTAATAAAGAGTTTAGCGATACTCGTAAGTTACTCGGTATAAGTTATTTTATCCTAATTATAAATAACATTATTTTTCCTTTAAGCTAAGGTTGATAAATATGGAAGACCGATTTCATCGGATAAAGTTGCTAAAGAACTAAAGAGATATTATAAATTAAGGGATGATGAGTTTAAATGTAAAAGCGAATCTTCAGAAAGTGAAGAACAACGAAATCATGTGACTACAGAGGAAGAATCAGATAATGAAAGTATTGATTTACCAACTTTTGACCCAGCTAGAGGTGAAGGTGCTTTTGAGTCATCAGACGACGAAGTAGATAAAGAAGAATTAATTGAACAAGAATCTGATGAATATTATGATCAGGTTCCATTAGGAGACGAGACTCATCGATTTGCCGTAGTAAACCTTGATTGGGATAATGTAAAGGCATCCGATCTTATGAAAGTGTTTAATGGTTTTAAATCAGATGTGTCTATCATAAGATCCATAAAAATTTATCCATCAGAATTTGGTAAGGAGCGAATAGAGAAGGTAAACTTATTATCACTTAAATAAATTATTTCCAAAATTACTGTCCTAATAAATTTTTTTTATGCTAGGAAACACGAGAGGGTCCACCAAAGGAAATATTTAAATCCACCGAAAATAATGAATCTTCAGATGATGATGATGATGATGATGATGACACAAACGCCATCATTCTTAATGATAATGGAGAGGAATTTGATACAGAAGAATTAAGAAGATATCAGTTGGATCGACTTAAGTTCGTAAATCAGTTGATTATCATAAGAAATAATTAGATCATTTAATTTTATTTAAATTGAATTCATTTATATAGATATTATTACGCTGTTGTCGACTGCGATACTGTTGAGACTGCTCGTCATATTTATCAGCAATGTGATGGAGCGGAATTTGAAAGTACTGCCAACTTCTTTGATCTTCGCTTTATACCCGATAATATGGAATTTAATGATGAGCCAAAGTAATCATTTATGTTTAACCATTATCGTCTTATACAATAAGATAACAATTAACGATCATTTATCGGTTCTATAGAGACGAATGCTTCCAAGCACCTGAAATATATAAACCTGTCGACTTTGTAACTGGTGTAAAGTTCATTTTTTTTTTAAAAAAAAAAGACAAAAATTTTTTTCAATGGAATGAATCAATATAATAATGCTTTTATAAATAATATAGGCATTGCAACATTCAAGTGTGAAATTGACTTGGGACGGTGATGATCCAGATCGTGTCAAAACTATATGTCAAAATTTCACGAAAAAAGATCTTGATGTTATGGATTTTAAAGCTTATATCGCATCTTCTAGCGAGGAATCTGATGAAGAAGTTGAAGAAGCAAGACAAAAATATAAAAATTTATTAAATGAAATTGAAAATGATAACGCAGAAGATCAGGATATGGAAATTACTTTTACTCCTGGATTGAGTGAGGCGGTAGCATTGAATTCAGCAGAAAAGGTCGGATTAATACGATTACTTTGAATATTATAATTATTTTACTTGCTGATCAACAATATCAATAACAGAATTTTGAAAACGAAACGAGTTTGGAAACGTATTTACGTAAACAAAGCGAAAAACGCAAAGAAAGAAAGGACGTAAAAAAGAAAGGAACAAAGGAAACGAGTAGTGGTAGGAAAAACTCTATTCCGTAAATTCTTATTTTAGTAAAACCATTTCTCTCATATTTCCTTAATATTTTAAAATATTTTAGATGAAACCTCAAAGTTAAAATACAAAAAGTCGGGTAAATTGTCTAAAAAGGAACACGAGGAGGTCGATCGACAGAAGGCCGAATTGGAGCTTTTAGTTATGGATGCCGAGGAGGAAGGTCATAAGCATTTTGATATGAAAGAGATTATTAAAAACGAGAAAAGAAACGGTAAAAAGAAAAAATACAAAAGAGATGTTCAAGTTGATGATGATGATTTCGAAATTAATGTTAATGACCCTCGATTTACGGCATTACATGAATCGCATCATTTCGCGATTGATCCTTCCAATCCACAGTATCCTTTACTAAATTTTCTAAATATTAATAATTCTGCTTTTATTTCATATATGCCCTTAATAATCGTAATTTTACTAACAGGTTTAAAAAGACAAAATCTATGAGTAAACTTTTAGATGAACGGCAACGACGTCAGTTTGAGTCAAATAATCACAAGTCGAATACAAATTTCGAGGTAATATAATTGATTATTTATCAAGATAAAAACGTATGATAACAATATTGCTAATTAGACCTTCTTAAATATGAAATAGGAAATCTCAAACGATAAGAATTCTAATGTTCAAATTAAAGATTCAAGTTTGTCATTATTAATAAATTCCGTAAGTAATTGTGTATAAGAATTAGAGATTTAGAGTTTCAATCAATATTAAGATATCCACTTTTATAGGTAAAACGAAAGAATGCATTAGCTACCGAAAGCAATGAAAAAGGAAAGCGTAGAAAAACCAAATCTTAAAATATAAAATCAATTAGATATTTTGGTTAACTTTTGATATTAAATTATAACGTAATAAATTAATAATTGTAACAAAAACTTTATATTATAATGTAACATATATTTCCCAATTATCGATTGGAGGATTGGATTCATAGAATGTTTTTCATTGACTTGATCAATTACAGAACAACATTGGATGACAAGTACACTAAAGATATTTAATATAATTTATATGAAGGGTTTTACAAACATGCAATTAACTAATTACGGGATCGAAGCGTTCATTTAAAAGGGTTACGTATAGTGTATAGTGCATTTAAAAAGAGTCAATTACACTTATCACTTTTCAAACATACTAAAAAATAAAACTTTAAATTGATAAATTATTTATTTCATATTTTAATTATGAACAATGAAATATTTGATATTAAATTAATAATATTTTATTTATTTATATTAAAATTAATATTACAAATTAGAATTAAATGTCAGTAATATATACTGTTAAAGATGGGTATCTTTAATTAAAAACGGATTTTGATATATGAGTTAATGGGATCAAAATAAATCTTATTTTTAAAATTACCAATATCAAGAAAGAAAGGGACATGATCTTAATAGTTATGTTTAGGCTCTTTCTGAGATAATGATGATTTTAATGCAGATTAAATTCCAAGTATCTACTGCTCAACTTTCTTTATGGATTCCTCATCTTTCTTTTCGTTTAATTCTTCGAAAATTTTCTCTATATTATACTTTTTCAACTTGTTATAATCCTCAAGAATACTCATTCCACAAATACTCTATGTTGCTTAAGAAATGATGGTTAATTTAAGATATTATACAACGATAAAATAATTCAATTAGATTGTAACTACCTTGAACACATCCACGATTATCACTAATTCTGGATCATCAAGATTTACTATGTGTTGATCACCAACTAATTTTGCAATCATTGTAATTAATTCCATTCTATCTACATTATGGTTATGTCTGATATTCGGAATAACCGCATACTTTTTAAAAAATTAATAATAATAAAATATATCATTATTTGTAAAAAAGATGATAAAATATCAAAAATATATATATATATATTTTACCCTAATCTTTTGTTGATCGTCTTTTAATGCATAAAATCGTGGTTTCAAAATTTCTTCTGCCATCCTATTAATATCATTCATATTGGCGTAACATGTTTGTGCAATGGGAACCAATCTCATAGTAAATCTTGATTCATAATCAAAATATGAATTACTTTCCCTTCAATTAGATTAAAAAAAAGAAAAATCAATAAGAAATTACTACCTAGTTTTCTTTTGCCCTGTATTGTACAAATCGGTCAAAATAGAATGAACGAGTTGAACGGGATTTACAGGAGGATTTGTCTTGATGAATACGACTAACAAATTTAAGAAATTAGTACATGGGCAAGAGAATAATAGAAAGGATCAAATAAGTACCACAATTAGCTCCGGTTTGTATTGATGCAAAACGACGCGATTTATGAGGTTGTTTCATTTGGGCGATTTCCTTAGCAATTGAAGTTTCCACATCGTCTTTATCTGATCCTCCTTCATCAACACTAGGATTTTCATCCGTAGACTTATAAATCTTATCCGCATACTATTAAAAAATGAAATATTTTTTTTTCGTGTGATTTCAAATATATAATATATACAATTGTATATATGGTTATATAAATTTTTACCTCATCAAACAAATCATAGCATTCCCTAATGCATAAAGGTTCTTTTGTTTTAACACAACTAATAAATATCCCGGATATATTGGGTTCCAGAACAGCTATATTTATTTAAACAATAATTAAAATATACTAATTAAAAGATTTTTTTTCTTTCATTTTTCAAAATATACCTTTAGAATTTTTATATCTTCCAAAAAAACGGTTATTCTTTGAACTTGACATTAATGACAAAAATTTATTAAAAACTTAAAAGCTTGATCAATTTCGCAATTTTTGTTTCTTGTGATAATATCGAAATACGATCAATCACTCTTTGTGGCGCCTGCGTTCCCATTAAAAAATGTCACGAAATGGCCAGCATTAAGGATCGGCAACATGCATTATCATGCATATGGGCCTGCAAAAATCTTAATGCGGGCCAACGTGACATTTTTTGATGGGTACCCTTGAAGTTTTCGATTATGTCACCATACAAATGGTCAAAGCGGTAGGTAATTAAATCATCGATCGAATTCCTATGAACTTCGAGAGAATTTGTAGGTATTCCGCTCGAGAAAGCCGTGTCAACACTTCACACGTATATGGAAACTTACTTATTGGTACTTTACTTCTAAGTTTTAAGTTCATTGACTTGAAGTAATAATGTAGTAATGGAAAAAATTACTTCCAACTTTTCCCAAGATCACTTAGTTTTCGATTTTTTTCGATTACAATCCTTTTTACGAGTATTAAATAAGATAAAGGCATATTCAAGCGATATCTTTACCTGAAATTTACCGAGTAGGCGCCAAAATTTTAATTAAAATGAGTAACATAAAGCAAACGTGGTCAGAAGAAAGTATTGCAAAGACACGTAAAGCCCTCAAAGAAAGACTATCTGGCCATGCAATATCACAAACACTTGTAGGTTTAGAGAAAAAATACAAGTAAGTCTTTGAAGGATCTTTTTCTTTTTTTTTAAAAAAAAAAAATTTTTTATTCAATTATTATTCTCCTTTTAGAGAATTATATGATTTATTGAATAGAACCGTCGACTTTGGTGAAAGTATTACTTGTATGCTTATTGGACCGTCTGGTTGTGGGAAGACCATGGTAACTTTTATAAATGATCTCATTTTTGGATTGTTTGAATAGAATTTTTAAACAATTCAATTTTTTTATGTATATAATAAAGCTTGTAAATAAGGTGTTACAAGAATTATCTGAAAAGTACGAAGACGATTTTTGTATCGTATACTTGAACGGGTTATATCAAACTAATGACACGACAGCACGTAGACAACTTACTCGTCAATTAGGTATAAATATTAGACAGGATGTGAGTATTAACGCGAATTACAAGTCCTTTATAAATAAACATTGGGTAATGTAAATTGAATATCTTCAATCATTAGCAAACGGATCTTGAAGTATTCGATCTGTTTAAATCAGGAAATCAAGCAACAAGACCTACAATTATTGTTATTTACAATTTCGATGAATTTGTGAAGAATTGTACTAAACCATTCGTGTATAATTTCTTTAATATAACTACGAGTAATAATTGTCCTATGGCATTGATTGGAATTACTCGGAAATTGGTGAGTTAACATGCTTATGAAACTGAATTGAAATTGAAAATTTTTTTTTTTTAAAGAGATATTTCTTTTTATCTTCTAACAGAGTATATTCACCGATCTCCCCAGTAACATTTTGTCCCGAAATTCCTATTCTCATATTAATGTTGGACGCCCACATACAATTGAAATTTTCACACAATTTGCTAAAAATACTCTGACCATAGATAATTCTGTTATTGATGATAAGGAATACTTTAAGTTGTTTAACAAGAAAGTTCAAGTAGGTTTCCATTCGAAATCGTTTCATGTGATTGATAAATTACTGATTTTTCGTTCTTATAGGCGTTATTTGAAAATAGATCTTTTAAAAATATCATTGAAAAGATATTTAATAATTCAACAGATATCGTTAGAACTTTCTATAAAATATGTGTAAGTTTTGATTAAATATTATTAGAACGTGAAATTAAATTTATTAAGATCATCGTTTTTTACTGATCTTTAATTAGTTTGAACCTGTTGGTAAATTGAATGCGAATCAACCATTCCTTATAATGAGTGATTTCACTCAAGCGGTCATGCAACAAGATGTAAATATAGACAAAATTTTACAAGGTAAGAATAATCGCAAAGGAATGTTCTTGTTTACTCTCAACATAATTATTCAAACCCTTTTTGTCCTGTCAACATCTTTAAAGGATTAAATGAACCTCAATTATGGATTCTACTTGCCATATATTCATTAAGCGGACGTGATTGTAGCATGTTTAATTTTGCTATGATTTATAATGAATATGCAAATTATATAAAAGCTTATATGAACGAATCTGGTAGTAAATTTAAACAAAAATTGATAAAAGAGCATTTATTAAGAGCGGAACTTGAATTTTTAGAACAAAGGGATATAATAAGAAAGGTTGATGGTGGTAAAGATTTACCCAAAGACTTCAGAATGATGAGACTTACTATTTTGCCTGAACAAATCGTCGATCTAATCTCAAATAATAATCGATTACCAAGTTTTATGAAAAAATGGATCTCATGATTTGTCACGTGATTTGTCACGTAATATGTCACGTAATATGTTATCGTCATCTACACGTGTTAAAATTACGCGTCCAAACTTCTTTGAAAAATACTGTTCGAATATAGAAATATTGCTCATGTTAAAATTATACAATAAATATAACCAATCTCGTATCTGACGCGTCCAAACATTTTTGAAAAAACTATTCTCTTTAATTTTTCGATTATAAGTTTTTTGAAAAAACCGACATTTCTATAATCAAAATCTTTATAATTACATAATGTCTCGTCAATTTGCAAGAAATAGTAATATTCTTAAAGGTATTTTAACTTATATTCTAATTATCCTTTATATATTTTATATATAATAATTTATTTAAAAATATAATTTTTTTTAAAAAAATAAATCTACAGCTAAAATAGACAACGTTCTTCCAAATCTTAACGTTTTGGAAGAATACAGCGAATGCTTAGGCAAGGTCGAATTGCGTCAAAAAGATCTGGACGAGATCACCGTCCTTCTTTTTGAACGCAAAGAAGAATATTTTCTTCTAAGAAATCGCCGATTAAATGAATTCATGCATGGATTCAATTTAATTTCGAGGAAGCTTAAAGAAATGTATCAGGTACCTAATGACTTTTTTTATCTCAACATATGTTTTATAAAATATAAATAAGTGGTTGTTTTTTAGAGAATCGTTTTTGGAGGAAATGCCGAGCTTGAATGCTATAGATTTGGCCTCCTTTTGTGATGGCGTCATTTTTAGCATTAAGCCGTCGAAAAAGAGCTGGAAAAAGATCTGGTGGAGAAAAGGTATTTCGTGTGTTCTTCAATGTTTCAATGTTTCAAATTTTAATTATACTTGATAATTAATGAATAATTATTTTACAAAACAGACTCTTTGTTCTTTGTCTCTGATATTAGCTCTGCACCATTACAAACTTTAAAAATGGGTTGCGGGAGATTTTTGATTCATATTATAGTATATTAAATGGTTAAATTTTTAGAGGCTATTAGCTTATTAATAAAACAAGTAAATATCTAAAATTAGATTTTATATAGTTTCATTATTTTTAAAATAATTTAATATTTGTAAAAATAATTATTATAATAAAATGTTATATATATAAAATTAAAGTATCGCCTTATTAATTTTTTTTTTTTTTAGTATGATAGTTTCGCATTATCTTTATTAAAATATACAAAAATCAGAAAATACAGATACTTCTATCTAAAATAATAATAAATTAAACTAGAACAAAGCTGATCCTGCACTTTTCTAAAATCAAACATAAAATTAAAAAATATTACATTATTATTTTCCAGCAAGATAACCAGAATAAGGAAAAGACTTAACTTCTACTGTATCAAAAATCCATCCATTGGGATCCTAAACAAACTGTCTTATTTATAATTGTTGACGAATCAAATAAAAAAGTAAAGGAATGAAATTAATATCCAAAGGTTGCGATGTGAAAGAATTTATCTGCATCAGAAATATATACAAAGATTCAAATTGTTTAAAGAGAACATATCTATCAATCCAAATTCTTTGAGATTTTTTAAAAATAAAATACATGAAATTAGAAAGAACTGCTAACAGTTCAGGCTGTAAGATGAATATAAAGTAAATTAAATCAATTAGACAAATAAAAACAACAGAAAGCGATTTGTAAAGCATACTGATATTAATAGTCTGAATTATTTTATTTATCATACTTTGATCCAATTTAAATTTTAATGGTCAATCTAATGGATTGCCTATTTTTAGGCATAAAACAGATAGTTAAACAAATTTGGGTTGATAAGAAGATTTTAATTTTAGATGCTTTTAAAAGTATCCAAAGAAATATGAATCTTCAAATTCCAGCCAATTTTAGGTAAAATCCCTCAAAAAATCAACTGCAGAAAAGGTTTCTCTAACTTTATAGCAGATCAATAGCAAAGTTTTTATATAATTTATGCAACTACATTACTTTAGGAACATTTATTAGTAATTGACTAAATAATTCTAACACATTTTGTTAAAGTTTGTTCAATTCTAGTAGAGCAAATTCTAAAACTTGATTTAGTATAAGAAGCTCATGAAAGGTTAATTAAAATAATAAAACTTATTGAGAAGCATTATAAGCGTGATAAAATAACACTGAATTTCAACCTTTCACTCCATTTATGAGAATGCTCATATGATTTCAGTATATTATATATTTTCTGATGTTTCTCATTTGAACGTATGAATAGGATCCTTGATAATTGTAATTTCTGTTTTTTGCTAATTTTTATAATAAAATGTGCTAATAAATAATAAAATATGTTAATATTATTTAGGTACATTACTAAATAGTCATAGACAAATTAAGCCAGAAATAATACACAGATTAATGAATAATAATCATATTAGAGAAATTAGTAGTTCAGTAAATATTCAAACAAAATGTTTAGATTTACTTGATAATCAAATTGTTGTTAATTCATTATTAGAACGAATATTCATCTGATAAAATAAAGCAATTTTAATCTAATTCAAGAAATATATAGGAATCAATTATTACTGAACATAAACCATTTCCTGGAGAAATATTAAGTCTTAAATTCAATGTAATATTATTTAAGTCAATGCTTAATTTAATGGTTGAATACTATATAACAACATATTAAACACACAATTTCAAGGCATCATTCGATAATAATTCTGAAAATTTGATTATACTTAGTTATATTATAATAAACAATTTCAGTCAATATAAAATTGGTTCAGAAGTATTTGGCTCAACTATACATAAAGTTAAAATGAAAACCCAAAAAGTTGAAATGTTTCGACTTTGGAGGTCAAAGTCGAAATGAAAAGTCGAAATGGTCGAAATT